ATATATATATATATATATATATAAATATACGGTGATCGAAGTAGAGAAAAAAAAAGTAACGGGATGGTATTAGGTAAATTAAAAATACCATCCAGCCTAATCATTGTTATATATAGAGACTTATAAAAAGGTGGCGGAATGGTTTATACTTTATAAAAAGGTGACGGGATGGCATCCTCCCGCACTTCAAACACTGTATATGTATATATGTATATTTATATATATAGACAGCAAAATCCAAGATTTAAGGTTAAGAACTTTTGTTCTTATTTTAAGAACTTTTGTTCTTATTTTAAAAACTTGTTCTTATTTTAAGAACCTGATTCTTATTTTAATAACCTGATTCTTATTTTAAGAACTTGATTCTTATTTTAGGTTTCCATTCTTATTTAAAGATATTTCAATAAAAAACATTGTTCTTAATTTTATAATATTGTAACATTTGTATATAATATGTATATATATTTGAATAAGTATACATATTATATACAAAGAATGTTTGTATATATATATATATATATATATATATATATATATATATATATATATATATATATATATATATATATATATATATATCATACCTATATATGATATATATATATATATATATATATATATATATATATATATATATATATATATATATATATATATATATATATATATATATATATATGTATATATATATATATATATATATATATATATATATATATATATAGATTCGCAGATATGATATATATGATATATATATCATATCTGCGAATCTGCATAAATCTAAACAGCACAAATGTGAATTTTTTGTATGGGCGACGTAGTAGCAAAATAATATAAATGTAAGGTGCAAGCAGGGCCTGATCGTCCACAAGGCACGTAAAGCCCAGACCTAAAGCCCCCCAAATTTTTGGAGCCCCCTAATTTTCAACTTTTATTATTTTTTTAGCCCATCAGAACTTTTCTAACATAACAGTAGAATTTAAAAATATTTATTTTATTTAAAAATTTTTAGATAAAAAAGAACTGAAATTATTTCAAGATGATTTGTTTGGATTTAACCTTTCCGCTCCGAAGTACGTCTTTTGGCGCTCTCGCTAGATCCGAAGTATGTTTTACACAAAATCTCATAAACATTATGGGTGGAATGCAAGAAGCAAACTTGAGTCAAGTTCGACTTGAACTTTACTTTGTAACCAATAGCGGCAGAGTATTTTTTGAGGGAAAAACCCATACTCTGTCGCTATTGGTTGTAATCTAAAGTTCAAATCGAGCTGGATTCAAGTTCTTGCATTCCACCTATGTTCTTGCATTCCACCTATGTTCGCTTCTTGCATTCCTCCCTATGTTCTGTTGCATTTCTAAATTAAATTTATGAACATATGGTCCACAACAGTCCGGAAAAACAAAAAAGTATTTTATCGGCCAAATGTTAACCTAAAATTAGCTGAATCGGAAATTTAGAACTTCATAAATGAGCTAGAAAACAATAAAAATGAAGATTATAAAGATGATTAGTGGCATTAATGTTTATCAAAAGCGAAGTTACAAAAAGTATAGATTTTGAAGAGATTTTGAATCAAATTATGTATGAAAAATTAAAGTTTTAAGTACTTCTGTGGTTTGTGGTAGATTATTAGATCCGCCTGAATTATTAGATCCCATTGCGTAATAATCAAAACGAGAATGCGCTTTCAAGCTATTATGCTATTAAGCTATTAGCTATTAAGCTATTTCAATTTATTTTATAATCTTTTAATGAATATCAAATAAACACAGTAAATATTTCACTTTCTTTTTTTTATCTGTTGTAAATTTACAAATAGAAACAAATTATACTTCCTTTTCCGTCATTATTAATGTCTTTATATTATTATATATTCGGACTCAAACGCAACATCTCTAAAGATAATAACTTGAAAGCGCATTCTCGTTTTGATTTTTACGCAATGGGATCTAATAATTCAGGCGGATCTAATAATCTACCACAGGTTACAAGAAACATTTAAGAAAGTATGAAATAAATTTAGATAGTTAAAACTTACAGTATACATGTAAGTTTTAACTATCTAAATTTATTTCATACTTTCTTAAATGTTTCTTGTAACCTGTGGTAGATTATTTTTTATTAAATTAGTATATTTTTTTCCTTAGTTAAGTAAACTTACATATGAATCTCTAACTTAAAAAAGGGGACATGTCCTGCAAAAATTCACATAACATGTCAAGTTAAGTTAAGTTTTAAACTTATATTCATTTATTTCCAAATAGTTATTTAAATTGCAAAACTTCAATATTTTTGATTACATTTTACAGTATGATAATAAAAGTGCTTGAAGTGAAATCCGTGCTATTTTAAAAACATGTAAAAAAAAACAATGCCTTTTTAACTGTGTTTTTTCTGAAATAAAATATTTTAAATTACAGAATTTTTTTCTAAATGTAAAATATATTTACAATTTTTATACAGATAAACTTCTTGGTGGTCGCAACATCTGATTTCAAAAGCTATCAACCTGGGTTAATTTCTAGGTAGCTGATCAACTCAAACTTTCATTCCTCAGGGTTCGATAATAGAGGAGACATTTATTCGTTCACATAATTTTTCAATAAGGGGGCCCCCAAATTGGGTTGTTCCTATAGTCTGCGTTGTTCAAGATCAGGCCCTCGGTGAAAGCATGCATAAGTGCGATTTGGTTTGAAGTGCTCCAAAGTTGTGCACTTCTTTATATATAATGAATTTAAGAAAAATGAATAAACTACCAAGCGATGGATCAAGGAGTTTTTGTGTGGCTAAAGACTCTGCCACTTCCGCCTACCCCTCTCCCCAAGCTGTCATTAGGGCCCCAAAATCATAAAGACCTATAATTATGAACAGTCAATTACAAGCGTTATGTTTATGAGCGCATGTTCAAAAAGTTTATAAGAAATTTCAGAGATTTTAAAATGGCTGCGAATCTTAGCTACATAATCTTTTATATAGCAACTTTTTAATTTTGGTTTTGTAAAAATTATTGCTGCAACTTATTTATTAAATTTGCAATAAATGGAGTATTTGGACCAAAAGTTGTTTGTAGTATTCAAACCTAGCACATAATTTTTTCATAAACGAAATAACATCAATAAAACTGTATTAAACCAGCAATATATTTTTTAAGTCAAATAGATTGTAATAGTAAAAAGCAAATCTCTTTTAATATAAATTTTATTTCTCAAACATGCAACAAACACTCTAATATGATATATTATATACTTATAATTTATGAACCAATAATTTTTTATGAATATCTTATCTAAAAACAAGACATTTAAAATTGTTTACTTTCAAGAATATGACTCTAATTCTAATATTCTTTTCTTTCTATCCAAAATTATCAAAATGTGTGCTCTTGTTCATCTATTAAATTATTTATTTGTCTGAAATCACACACAAGTTACCCTACCTCTTTCAATCCGTAATTTCTTTACTTCTAAAAAATATTTAGCAATCTTAAATTACATATTCTAAATCATTATTCAGTTAAGTATATATGTTAAGGTGTAAACAGATTCTATCTGTTGACCAGCCTCGCATCCCTTCGTCATCTATTAGGCTGGCGCAGATGTATTTTTAATACATTGTTTCCAGTTTAGGATGTTGAACGCTGGATCTTCTTGACTCGATTCATGGGTTTTGCTTGTGTCTCTGTTTTTATGACTAAGCAACTTATTCTATTATCTCCAAATGAGGGTACAGCTCTAAAACTCAGTTTTATGGTTCTGAGGCCGGCTGATAGTCAGGTTTCCCGAACTCTGTGGTAGCTCTCAGAGAGGCTGATTCCATCAACAGCTAAAGTTGCTTCTCTTTATCGAGCTCGTCACTTTCTTACTCTGGATTCTATTCTCTATCTCTATAAATCTCAAATCCGGCCTTGTATGGAATACTGTTGCCATATCTGGGGCGGATCTTCTAATGATGTCCTTTTTCTTTTAGACAAGGTGCAAAAACGCATTGTAAACATAGTTGGACCTGCTCTTGCAGCCAACCTTCAACTTCTGCCACATCGTTGTAATGTTGCTTCTCTTTCTTTTTTCTACAAATACTATAATGGGCACTGCTCTAAAGAGCTAGCGTCTCTTGTGCCATCTACTAAAATTCATTCTCGTGTTATTCGTCATTCAATTAAGTCTCATCCTTTTTCTGTTACTGTTCCTAAGTGCTCCAAAAACTCTTATTCGTCTAGCTTTTTTCCTCGAACATCAGTTCTTTGGAATTCGCTTCCTTCATCTTGCTTTTCTGATTCATATAATTTGCAATATTTTAAGTCGTCTGTCAATCGTTATCTTGCTCTGCAATCTTCATCTTTTCTCTTCCAGTAACTTCCAACACTAATTAGTGGTTGCTTGCAACCTTGTTGGAAGCGAAGATAATTAAAAAAAAATAAAAATAAAAAAAAAAGTACAGCATAACAAATCACATTACAAACCAATGCATAAATACATGAAATAATTTATCATTTTTTATTCATAGAATAATTTATTTTTTATATTCACTTTATATCACTAAACTTTACTACTAAAACTCATCTTTATGTCTTTTTATTTTGGAGAAATGCAATTACTGTTCGTAAAATGTTACGCTCTTTGTGGGTTATTATTATTGCTTTTGGTATGATTATAATAAATATCAACATTATTTTACTTATATTCATATCACTATTACTTATTGTCATTGTTTAATATTAAATTTAATATTTATTAATATTATTATTACTACTATTATTGTTATTATTATATTAATATAAATATAATTGTAAACATTGCTTACCTCGTTATAATTGTTTTAATATTGTTATTGCTATTACTATATAATTGGTTTTTATTTAAGATTAGTATTAGTACTATTTCTAAATATCCATGTGTATGTTGCATACATACACATATATGACATTTATGTGTGTGTTTTCTTTTAAGCAGTTCCAAGTTTCCAAATACATGCAAAGTAAAGTAAGTTAAGAAAACAATACTTTTCAATTAGTAAATTTAGTATTATTAATTAATTTTATTTTTTACATTTTTTATCCTTATTTTAATTGATCTAAGTATAGAATTTTAATTTATTAACCTGAGTAATTAAATTTCCAGTTGAAAGAGTTGATAGAGTTGCAGCATTTTTAGAGAAATATCAACCTTTCCTTAATGTGCTATTAGTAAGATTTTTTTTTCATTTGTGATTTCATATATTTATTGGATAAAATGTAAGAGTGTTTCAAAATCATAAATCCTTTTTTAAGTGAGAAGGTATTTTCAAAACTGCCATGTCCTTTAATGGGTTATTCTATAAGTTTTCTCTGCTTTATAAAGTTGTATGCTTTTTTTATTATTATTATTTAATTCAGATTGTTGGCGACATAGCTCATGTATTAAAGTCTTCTGTCACAGTTGACTCAGCAAGAATGAAGACATTGATACACTTTTGCATTATGGAATACACAAGTTGGCAGTTCCTTGCCCGCTGTCACCCAAATACAGGTAAGTATGCATGCATACACAACCCTCAAAATTAGTAAAACTAAAGTGAGTAATAAATTTTCGATCTTAAACTGTTTTAGGCTGGCATCAGAGTACAATTGGCAAACATAAAGCCATTTTTACAAAGGTTTTCCTATAAAAGATAAAAACAAGGTCAGCAAAAAATTGCTAACCTCAGGCATTTTTATGTTTTTGCTTGGTTAGGGTTAGATTTAGGTACAATAATGTATTGAAATCAATTAATAATTAAATAAGGAATGTGTTTTTAGATACTAAAGTCATACACTTAATAAAGTACATGCTGCAAATACTTCCAAAAGACTAAAACTGGACATATTACAGAGCCGTAACTACTTGGGGGGCCAGGAGGCCTAGATTCCCCCCAAAAAATTACTACAATAACTACAATTATTAGGGAAAAACTTATATATTTTACAAATATTTTATCCCCTCCTTCCTTTAAAAGAACTATAGGCTATAGTTCTTGAAGTTGGTGGCTTTTCCCATGCTATGTTTAGGCCTCTCCCTAAAATGCCTCTAAAATGGTTACCTAAAAAAAAGAAAAAGAAAAAGGACCTCAATATGTGATATGGGCCCCCCTAATATTAAAATTGTGGTAACGGCTCTGATATATATATATATATATATATATATATATATATATATATATATATATATATATATATATATATATATATATATATATATATATATATATATATATATATATATATTTATTTAAGAAAATGTTAAATCAAACCTGAGGGAAGCAGAAGAAAGAAGTTTTTTAAGACAAAACCCTTTTCTCTGTACAAAAACTTACTTAAAATTGAAAAATTTGACAAAAGCATAAAAAAAACAGAACTAAATTAAAAGTTAAAATTTGAATTATCTAACACTTATTCCAACAAAGGTTTGTTTTAAAACATTTTCAATATTATGCTACATAAACCAGTTAAGTTACTCTCATTCCAACACTTTTCAAATATTCTTTAATTTTTCATTTCAATTTATTTGTGAAATTGCATTTAATTCTTTTTCTCTTTAATTCCTTTGAAAATTAAATTCTATATAAAAAAATTCATTTTGATTTCGAAACAATGAAACGTCAAAAAACGACTGATATGTTTTTGTTCATATGGTTTTCTCCATCTCCTTCTAGTAATAAAGAAAAGTCTTAGTCAGAAAAAAAAAAAGCAAGATCCTGGCAAAACTCTACGTAAATAAAGAGAAGTTGATTGAAGAAATCGTTCTGAATCCTGAAGCGATCAAATACTTTTGGACAAATAGAATCTCTTTCTTTTATCTAGTTGCTCAGCAGAATTCAGGTCTATAGTAGGGTAAATATATCAGGTAAACCCACTGAGAAAAATGAGCTCTTTAAAGAGCTCTTTATTTGGTTTTTCTAGAACTCGTCCAGGAGCTCTTCGAAGAGGTCTTCTACGAGACACTCCGCACAGAGCTCTTTTAGTAAAGTACCGAAGAGCGCTTTTAAAAGAGTTCTTGTAGAGCTCTATCAAGAAATCTAAACATGAGAGCATTCTTCAAAAAATACTTTTTTCATCTAAATGCATGGTATCACAATTCTTAAATCCACACTTTCATATTTTGAATAACTAATCACTTGCACGAGTATTTTATATTGAAGGAAAAGCAGGGAACGCTACACCTAAAAAAACTTAAAGCCCTTAAAAAACCCCCACAAAAATGTTTGCAATAAAATATCGCACAGGAAAGAACAAAGTAAAAAAAAGCCAAATTTATAAGAACAATTTTTATTCCAATTTTTTTTTCCTGATCTCCTTCGTAATATTATCATTTGCCTTGTACATGGCGTCTTTAAGACCTTTTTCGATCTTCATTACGTCTTTGTGTCCCAGTTTTTTTAGCACAGCTGAAAAGATTTTAAATTTATTTTATAATATTCAATGCTTGTTTATTTGATTATTATTTATATTATTTGAAAAATGTTTAGTTGTTACAACTCACCTATCAGTGTGATGTACACAATTCCATTTTTGACTGCCATCTTCTTCTCCTTATATGTTTTGTGCCCAGCATAGCACATGTTTTTCAGCATGTCTTGAGAGAAGATTTCACTCATAATCATTTTAGCTGCAGTTGTTGTAGCTAATGTATCAAGCTTGAGTGCCTTTAAACGTTCCAAAAGCAACTTTTTCTGAAAAAAATATTTTATTAAGAACAAAATTTTTTTTTACATAATAAATAATGCTATACCAATAAGGTTTCAAAAAAAGAATGTAATTTAGAATTTAAACTGTATAATTTGACATTTCACATTCTACATAGTTAAGTGAATGAAGATAATTATTAGATTATTTGCAAGAGAGCAGATTTTTAAGCTGCCTGACATACATAACAAGAAAACACTTTAAGAATGAAAAAAAATTATTAATAATAACAAAAAGTCCAGATTTAAGATCTAGATAGACTTATATTAGCTTATATTAGAGTGAGATTAGATCACTGAAGACTCACTACATTTTAATAACATAATAATAAATTTCATTTTGTAAATAATGACTTTAACTATACAAAGAAAATATGTATCCAGCTTACCCAAGTTTTGACAAAAGATTCATTTTTCAGTTTTTCCTCCAGCTTATAATATTGTTCTTTTGTGGTCATAGGCAGGCGTCCTAAAACAGAATCATCCTCAACTGCATCATCATCAGAGGAGTCTCTGTTTGTTTGGCTTTTAGAACTTGCAGAACGCTTTCTATTGCGTAAAACAGTGTTTATATTAAGTGCATCCATTACTACATAGGTAAAATTCAGCATGTGCTGATTAAATTCTAAAAAAACAAAAATTATTTAGTATTTTAATCATGCACACACAAAACTATAAAACAAAGTTTAATATACCTATTCACAGTTAAGCTTATGTTATAAGTTGTTATTGACAGAGTATATTTGTTATGTAAAAAATAAAAACACAATGATCACACAAATTATACACCTTATATACACTACCTGTTTGAGACATATCACTAGCTTTCTTTCGGTGTTTATACAAATTTTCCAAGGTTCCATTACACCACACATCAGAGTCAGCATCAGCTGTTACTTTACAAAAAAAAATTTAATCCTTTAGACTTCTGATTTAACAAAGAAAACTATGTACTATTAAGTTTTTAAGGTTTATGTATTTTTTTGTTTTATTTGGTTTAATCATCAATAACAATTGTTATTGATGAAACATGTTAAAAAGTTTTTAAATTATATATATATTACTACTTATGCTAAGTAACTAAAACTCAGTCTTTTACTAATCACTTCCTACCTCTTATGTTGGGGCTACTAGTCCTGATTGGTGATGAAGTAAGTCCTGCAGCCATGGCAGTAGGACTTTGTTCTCTACTCTTGGCAGGAGACCAGTTCCCTAACACAGACAATCTAGAAGTACTGGATGCTAAAAAAAAAAAGAAAAATTAAATTTTAATCATAAATTCAAGCTCTAAAACACCTATTTTGAGAAAAAGAATAAACTTTTTCTTTTAAAATGATATCAAAATATCAAATACTTTTTAGCCAGAGTTTACGATTTTTTATCATATTGGGAATATTAATTATTACTAAACAAAATATTGGAAATTTTATTGATATTGTCCTATTACTTCAACAACAACAACAAAAAAAGGTCATTCATTTTTGGGAAATGTTACTAATTGAAATTTATTTTTTGTTTATTCCACAAAAATTACACATGATAATAAAAACTTTTTAATTTAATTGCATAATAACAAAAATTAGTCTCTTATGATAACCTTCCTCTTTTACTGAGGCTCCCCCGAGTCCTCATTAATGTTGAAATAAGCTGTATACCCCTGTCAGTAGAACTTTGTACTCTATTCATAACAGAAGGATACATATCTTCAAACATTGAAGATCCAGAGGTGACATTGGATTCTAAAAAAAAAATTTACAATAAAAAGTTATAAAGATTGTTACTTGCATTTAAAAAAAACATTAAAAAAAAACAGTTTTTATTTGTTATATAAACTCAATATAATTCATGCACACTTTTCTACGGATCCTTGTTGTGAAACATTAAAATTTGTATTTTAATTTTTGTTTATTCTATTAACAAAATAATTTTAATCCTAATACTAAAAAAAACAACAACATATAATTATATATAAAAAACAGATGATTCAATGCATGTAAATTGTAACTATTTTTAATCGAAAAATCTCAAAAATGTTTAATTTTACTGTTCGTTTAAATAAATGTTTCGGCTCACATTACCTATTTGGTGAGAAAAGATTTCAAGAGATTTATTTCTATTTTCACTTGTGATTTGGAGAGTGAGTTGTTTGTCTGCTGAGGTTTCAGGAGTATAAGTAACATTAATTTCAGGAGAAGACAAGATTTTACTATATTTTTTTTTTGCAGTGTGGGTGATCTCCATTGACTTTCGATTATCTGTACAAAAGCATTGCAACAATAAATGTTAATATCAAAACTGTATAAAAATTATATAAGCTTTCATTATAACATTTTATTAATTTAAAATATGTCATTTTTAATGCAATGATTTTCATTGCACTTTAAAAAACAGCCTCAAATTATGTTGTTTTTTTAAAAAAAAGCATCTTGTGTAATTTTTTTTTATTTAACATTATTTTAATTGTATTTAAATTGTGTAATTTAAAGTAAATTGGATGAAAATTTCAAAATAAATATATTAAACTTTAACTAAACATGCCTGCATTGTTTTCCACTGTGTTCTTTCGCTTGTAAGTTGGAAATGGTGGAGCTGGAGACAATCTAAAATTGTTCTCATTTTCTTCCTCCTTATTGTCCCAATAAGCAGGATGCAGTAAATCCCTGGCCTTAGCTGATAAGCGAACCTTTCTTTTTGGTTGCGCTTCATCTTCAGTAGTTGTTACATTACCCACGAATGTATTTTTCTTGTCTAGAGCTGCCTTAC